TGTTGCACAGTTTAAGGGTTACAACTAATGGCAAACAATAAAAGCATATAATGTAACCTCTAAAACATCTGAAGCATGTATACCTATACTAAAGGTTACAGCGCTATAGGTTACAATGTCTTATAAAATAAAGGTATACTAAAGTTTGAGAACGTGCACCTATAATAAGGGTTACCGAGCTTAGAGTGTAGCCAAGGTGACCCGATGTCGGGTCGTCGTGGCAGGCTCGGAAGATCTCGAAGAAATGTAGAGATTACCAGGAGCCACGTCGAGTTTCTGTCCCGAAAGTACTCTTTGTAAAGAATACCTCTTCGAACGGCGAATCTTGGCAGAACACGTGAGAAGGCTCGGGGAATCGCACACACTCGTCCCACGATCGATCACCGCGTGCAGCTCAGGATTGTCCTGTTGCATTGCTGCCATGCCGTTAACGCTCACTGCGCAAAGAAAGTGATCGTCGCTGTCGTCGTCTTTGGCGCAGCCGGTAGCTGACTCGACGGGGCTCTGGACAGGTAGTCGGCGTCACTGTGCTTTCGGCTTGACTTGTAGACCAGGTCACGTCGACCTCCTGCAGTCGCAAACTCCATCGAGCAAGGCGTCCCGATAGGTCCTTCAGGCTCGTTAACCAGCACAGCGAGCGGTGGTCGGTGACCACTCGGAAAGGGCTCCTGTATAACTATGGGCGGAATTTTGTGACGGTTCAAACGACGGCAAAACATTCCTTCTCGGTCGTCGAGTAATTTGGTTCCGCGTTCGACAACGTTCGACTAGCCTGTGTTATCACACGCTCCGTACCCTCTTATCGTTGGACCGGTACCGTGCCGAGTCCTGTATTGCTGGCGTATGTGTGAACTTCGGTTTAGGCTGACTGGTCGAAGAGGCCAAGAATGGGTGGCGACTGGAGTCGTCTCTTCAGCTTGTCGAATGCCTGTTGTTGTTCTTGCGATTCGAAGTACACGGTTTCTTTCTTGAGATGCCTAAGAGACGCAGAAAGGCTATCGAAATCCCGAACAAACCTCCTCTAGTACATGCAAAGTCCTAGGAATCTTGGGAAGGCCTTCTTGTCGGTGGGCGGTGGAATTGCCGCTACGGCGCGAGTCTTCTTGGGGTCAGAGCGAACTTCTTCGTTGCTCACAACGTGGCCCATGAACTTCAGTTCGCCGTAGGCGAAACGGCACTTCGTCGGCTTGGTTGTGAGTCCGGCGGTCCTGATTGCTTGACCAACGGCCCGAAGGCGTCGCAAGTTTTCGCCAAAGTTCACCGAGAATATGCGACGTCGTCGAGGTAAAGGAGGCAGCTCTGCCATTTGAGCCCAGCCGGTATGGTGTTCATGACATGCTGGAAGGTTGCGTGCGCCGTGCACATTCCGAAGGGCATCACCTTGAACTTGCAACGGAAATAATCCCTGGAGAAAGGGAACAAGGGGGACAAAAGACAAACACAAATCTCCAAACGCCGCTAGGTGACTGGTGCGCGACCGAAAAAATCCGCCTGGTACGGGTATCGAACCGGGGCCTCTCCGTTTCCAGTGAAGCGCCCTATCAACTTAGCTAACCAGGGGTTAGACGTCAGTAGAGCAAACGGGTTTTATGAGCCGCCACCGGTCTAACACCAACAAAGGCGAATGGCTTGAAATTTAAAGTTCTGAATTTAATGCAATTAAATGAAAAGCAAGTAAATGCAAAGGTGCACGCGAGCTGGACAAGAATGACAAAACTAATCTTTGGACAAGGAGAACAGGAGGGACAAGGGGCAAACACATATCTTCAAACATTGGAGATTTGTGTTTTTCCTTTGTCCCTCTTGTTTCCCTTTTCCAGTGATTATTTTTGCCACTCTCGTCCAGCTCGCTTGCACCTTTGCATTTAATTGTATTATAATCATAACCTTGAGCTCCTGCAATTCATCGGACACGACGAAGGCAGTCCTCTCTAGGTCCCGTTCCTCGGCTTCGATCTTCCAGTAGCCACTTTTCAAGACCATCGACGAAAAGTATCGGGAGTGGCGCAGCCGGTCCAGTGTGTCGTCGATGCGTGTGAGCGGATACACGTCTTTCTTCGTAACCTCGTTAAGCGGCCGCCGCTAATCTACGCAGAAACGAAGCGTTCCTTGCTCATTTTTCACTATTACGACCGGAGAGGCCCATGGAAGGCTTGAAGGCTGGATAGTGTTGTCGTTTAGCGTTCCTTGTACTTGTTCGTGAATCGCCTTTCTTTCCTTTGGTAGACGTGATGGACGTTACTCAAGGTTGACCTCATTTCAACTTGAGCGGATTTCGACTTGCATTTGTTCACTACATTCGAGTTCAAACTCACCCCATCTGAGAGACCGGGTGAGTCTGCTTTCGAATTTCATAAGAGCACGGTACCGGGTTTTAGGTAAATACCAATAGACTTTGAAATTTAACCCCCGAGCCGGTTTCCTCGAAATCGGAGAAACCCAATAAACACTAAATCGAAATTGTCCCTAAAAATTGTATTACGTGAAGACGTTATTTGTCGAAAACCTGATATACCTACTCTGACACCGAAGACAGACCCCAGTAAACTGTCCAAAAGGCTTCTTGCTTCGGAACCACAAATTGTAGTTTGTTTACTTTTCTTGTTGGTATGGGTCACGCGTAAGTTTTCTAAAGGTTAGAAAATTCTATGCCCGTGTCCTTTTTTTTTTCAACATGAGCCCCGTTAAAGTTTAGTCTAGCACCCAACCCCGAAAACTGATACCTAAAAACACCTAATTAGTGGGCGGAAAAAAACAAAAACACGGAATCGTACAAATGAGCCACGGAAGTATACCGGAGCTCTCCTAATCTACTTTGCAAATATGTTCGGAGAATTTCATGGTCAAGGGCATTATTGCTACAACGTGCACGTCCTTTTGTTTGTAGCAAACGTTGAAAAGTTTTGTAGCCTCGATAACGTGAGTGAGCCTCAGTTTAAGAACCAGTTTAATTGGCTAAAAGGCTAAAAGGTTTCGAAGTGTCATGCTGACGCGTTCTCCGAGAATTTATCAATGGATCTTGCTGTATTGTATATTATTAGGTATATACTATAACAGATATTTAAGTCCCTCTTTACCCCAGCTCTCATTTCATGTACGGAGATGAGCTGTCAAAGCGCCAAGTCCTCACCAGAGGGTCTAGATTGGAGAGCGGGCCCATCTCAGACTAAGGGAAGCGTTTGCAATTAAATGGCGGACGCCTAATGCGGAGATTGGTCGAGTGCGCATGCGCGGCGTTTTCGCGTGGCGAGAAGGAAAGCAGGCGGAAAGGTGGAGGCGTTTGCAGACGATCAACGCTTTCGGTACCCTCTTCACAGATCTCATAGCAAACGCAACTCACAAACCTTGTGACCGCGATCGAACAAATTTGAAACTCTCTGTAATACAGGCCTCTAATCCTCACTTGTCTCACGCTGTGCTATCTGACGGTAGCGCATGCAAGTTGGCGTGCACCGTTATGGCACCGTCTGCAAGCTGCCTGCGCAAACCTAAAGCAGACGTTTTTTGTTTGTTTGTTTTTTGTTCAAGATAAGTTTATTTGTTGGTAATTTTACTTCAAGTTTAGACCACCTGGCAGCACCTCTGCAGTAAATCACAGCGCGATATCTTCAGAAACTTATTTTTGCACGACCGTTTAAAGTGGGTTCAAAGCATTCTTGTACTTGAAACAATTTGAGCTCATAATATATGTGTTGCTTCAAAATGAAAAAGAGATCAAACTTGTATTTTCAACGGCCGGCAACGCAAACGAAAACAGGTCGGCACACATTGAGGTTGCAGATTCTACAAGAAGCAGGTCTCTGAACGAAAGTCTATTTAAAAAAAGAAGAATACATCAGATCGTCATTTTCAAACCAATGTTCTGCACCACATTCTATTTCATATAATATTACAATTTTTCTAACTGATCCTAGAAGATATGAATATCATTAAATAGTTCAGAATACAGGAGGACTCGTGAAGAAATTCGTCTTAACTGATGGACTATTTCTGGCGCACGAACTTCATTCTCTTAATCATGTCTTGCTTGTCTTGTGTATAATTCAACATGTAAAACAATGCCTTCGTCAACTGAAGATGCGGGTTGTTCCCAATTGAAATTGTTCTAAAATTTTATCGATTGCACTAAACCAGTGTTTTACGAAAGGTGGACGAACTCGATATTGTGAAAACTACGCATCGCACCAAAAAAAGGCTTGTGTCGTTTTGGTCGATGGCCATGGGCCTATTGAGAAAAATTATTAACGTTCAGGATAATTAGGTTGGTAATTATTTTCGCCTAATTATTTTTAATATTGAGTTTAAGGGCATGCTGTCAATCAGAATCTTGCTGAGCATCATCGAAAAACACTAAATCAACAGACTGCAGAACGATAGAAGTCACGCGCAGTATTTTACGGCGTTCTGAAAAACCGCACAATTTCGACGGGTTTTTAAGTTTCGGTTTGCAATCGGAGCGCTTCTTGGCACCGACGGCGCCGCACCCCATGGGGAAATAGTGCAACCAGCCTCTGCTGCATTGCGTGAGGACAGCGCAGCAGACGCTGATTGCACTATTTATCAGCGGGGTACGATGCCGTCGGTGCCGAAAAGCGCTCCGATTGCGAACCAAAACTTAAAAACGCGTCGAAATTGAGGGGTTTTTCAGGACGCCGTAAAATACCGCGCGTGACTTCTATCGTTCTTCAATTTGATTTAGTGCTTTCCGATGATGCTCAGCAAGATTCTGATTAAAATCACGTCCTTAAACTCAATATTTAAAAAAATTAATTAGACGAAAATAATTGGCAAGTTAATTATCGCGAACTTTAATAATTTTCCTAAATAATCCCCTGGCCTTAGACCAAAACGACCCAAGCCCTTTTTTGGTGCGATGCGTAAAGTTCGCAATATCGAAATTGTCCACCTTTCGTGAAACATTTTGTAAAGTGTCGTATACTTTAAAATAAAATTAATTTAAGAAGCAGAATAAAACTTAAATAAGATAGAAAGAGGCAGCCTGAGTGACAATATAATTCATTTATTGTGGCGGGGTAGTGTTCCGCTATCAGCCTATTTAAATAATCTTTCTGCTATACGATTTCACTTTTGTCCAGAACTTACTCAAGCTCGAGAGCACGTTTCCAAAGTACCAGAGCACTTTGCCCGGAAAGTTCTGCAAGGCCAGATGGCCCGCGTTGTCCTTCTGCGGATACTTGAGATGCTTCTTCCAATACCGGCACTGCGCTAACCGGAGCTCAGAACCGAGCCCGTATTGCCCCGGTTTCAGGGATAGGTAAGTGCCGTTGCTTCCCCGGAATGGAGGCCACTGCAGTCCCTTGGAGCTTGGATTCCTGGAAGCGCCAAGACGTCCTTGTTATAAAGGAGGCAGACCACGTGCGAAGGGGTGTGACGCATAAAAGGTACCTGAGACAAGTGGCACGATATGATAACCCACAAGTATTTGTCACAGAGCGCGGCGGGCACTCGAGCGCTATCAATGCCCATGGCGGACGGCTTCAAAATACATCACGAAACGTTTGTGGTCCTTGTGTCTGTCGGAAGCCCGGAAGAGTGGGACTGATACACGTCACAAATCCTTGCTAAACACCGAGTAAAAGAAAGAAAAACACGCTGCTGGAGACACCCTTGTGTAGAGCGATATCAACAATCAAGTCTGAAAGGACAGTTAGCGCTATCTGGTGAGGTAGTTGTGCAGCTCTGAGGCGCGCAGTGGTCGCAATCCTAACGCTCCACCTTGAACTTCAACGTCATATGGTATCCTGCTGAAATTTGACGCTGTGCTCCTGACCAGTCATTCCGTCGTAGGAACTGTAAGTTGTTCTTTTTTGCCACTCGCTGACTAGCAACTGACTGTGGTGACTCCTGTTAAACGCCATTATATAGACTCGGACAACACGCCTACGCATATTACCGGGCTGCATTCAAACTGCCACTTCCGATCGGATATGAAGACTTTGAAATAAATGCTAGCGCATCTACTTCCAATACAGGACTGAGTGGTTTTCAAAGATTTGATGCAAATTTTTGGTTTGCAATAGACCCTTTCCAAAAACGCACTCCATCAGGCCTGCATTAGGCTCGGGCGCTGCGTTAGCGTTTAGCGGGGAGTACGGTCTAATCGCACGCTTCACTCAGGAAGCGAGGCTTACGATACGATGACCGTTAATAGTGCTTAATAGAATATGTAGAGGGTTTAGTGCATTCAGTTATTGGATTACTTTGTCTGAAATCTTACTAAAAAAAAGAACGCTGTTGAACTTTTGAATTTGAATTTGAACTTCTTGAAGACGCAGGAGTGTCTTCAAGAAGTTAAATCGCTCAATAAAACATCAGCAAGCATTCTGAGGCATCCCGGACGGACTTTTCAAGTTCATTTCCCCAATCGCTACAACTTTCGCGCAGTTTAAAAGTGTCACGGGGTCATATTTACTCTGCCTTCGATATAACACACCAGTAGCAATTTGGCGCATGCAACGCCTTGCATCATTACTGAAACTCTTTTTCTTGTTTCTGTACAAGCTTTCGGTGTAATTTTGGTAACAAACAGTTAAAATATCATTCCTTACAAAATGAGATAATATCCAAAGCATTGGCCGCTTTCAACATCACCCTACGTGACGTTTAAATACGACGTGGCATTCTATAGCTGATTACAAATAAATAAACGCTCGCAAAACTACGCGCACAAAAGTATCACCTTTGAATAATGCATTCTTGAAAGACTGCAATCATTACAAGATTCTATAATCATTTTAAAAGACGCGACGTGTTGTATTTTTTCATTGTAGTGCTGTTTCGGATAGAGAATACTATACGGCAGAAAAAAACATACTTAGCTTTCCGTACCATTGAAACACTTTGCGTCACTATCTGTAGACCATACATATACTATAGCCTTGAGCACGCAGCCTTCTTTGTTTACTAGGCTGCACAATGCGTTTTGAGCATACGCAGAATCTCATTGCTGTCGAATATCAGAAGCCACTTATCCGTCAACGGTCCAGTGACTCAGCATTTTTTTTTTTTCCTGTTAGAACGGCGCATAAAGTGTGCGCCGTTCCGAAACGCAGGTCCAAAATGTGGCGCTGCTTCTGTCTTTTTGTATCCGCGTTTCGTTTTCTATTGTTGTGACAGCGCGTATTCGAACGACAGACGACACAGTTGGCAGATATAAGAAGCATGGATGAGCGCGAGGATGATTTTGTTCGCAAGACTTCAATTGTTTTTTTTGTTTTTTTTTCAAGCGCAATTCCACCCTTTGAGAATAACCTGGAGTTTGGACGATTTGTGTAGAGAGAAACTGAATAAGCTGCGGACGAAGGACTATTGTTTACAGCTCGGTGTTCATTTTTGCGACATCATCAAACTACTTTATTTTATTCCAAGCTTATGCGGAGGGTGGAGTCACTGCATTCGCATGTCGTGCGTTTCTACTCAAGCCGCTTCAGCGAAAGGGTGATGCGTGTTACACACCCTTTTTAAATAGCCCTAGAAAATGTAATTTACTTTTTTTAAGGTTTCTCACATGCATGCGTAGGGGGAAAAAAGCGGCCATCCGACATCTTTGATGGATGTAGCACTTAAAATATCATGATAGCTGCGGTCGTTCGCCCAAGATCTATGCAGTTCATTTGTAGAACCGACAGTCAGCCGCAAGCGGTATTTTTGTCTGATAATTGAGACAAGTAGAAAAGTCTAATTTAGGAAAATAGAAGAAAGCGAATAGAAATATACGATTTTGTGCGTTCATGCAGATTAGGGTTTGTACCGTATCGTCCATGTTGATTATTTAAACTTGGTTATAAAATACTAGTGCTGCGAAGGAAACATATCCAGCCGTGAGACATTAGGAAGCTTCATCAAAGAGTGGAAATGCAACAAAGCAGAAGCTGTCGCTCATTTGTGACCAAAGAAAAAAATGAAAGACGTTTAAATCCCCTGTAACGCCGAATTAGAGCGCAGCTCTTGAGGAGGAGGAGGATGGGAAGGTGCGGAGAGGAGGGTATACCCCTCCTCTTCATGCGTACCCTCCCCTCCTCCTTCTTCTGCTCCCTTCCCATTTAAAAAGGTAATTTACGCTAAATTTCTCGCTAAATTTATCGGAGAATTCTCCATTAAATTTAGATGAAAAATTCCCTGCTAAATTTAGCGTTGAACTTTCCGCTAAATTCAGCGGGGAAATTTTTCCGCTCAATTTAGATAGGAATTTATTCCTCCAAATTCCGCGGGGAGTTTTTCCCACTAAATTTAGATGGGAATTTTGCAGCTAAATTTAGAGGGGAATTTTCCCGCAAAATTTAGTGGGGAAAATACTCTGCAAAATTTAGGGGGAAATTTTTCCGATAATTTTAGCGGGAATTTTCCCGTCAAGTTTAGCCGGGAATTTCTCCCGTTAAATTTTGCAGGGAAATTTTTTCGCTAAATTTAGCTACAATGCTAAATTGTAGCGCGGTGACGTCACGAGTGACCCCCGTGACTTGACGTGTGACGTCATTATGGGAAACGTCCCATAATGCAACGCGCGGTTACGCCGACGGCGACGCCACTCAAGCCTGGAAACGGGCGCCTAAGAGCTGCGCTCTAAAACCGCGCTAAAAAAGAAAAACGAATACAAATGCGCACGGAGTAGTACACCAAAAAACCAAGCGACGCCTATTCTGCAGCCAAATGCTCGGTGCGAGCAAATCCTCTAGGCCTACTACCGTTATAAGAGGCAGAATAAATAAATATATCATCACAATCTCTGATCCCACTCATATTCACGTTTATGACACGGTTAGGATCCACAAGGTTTTTTTTTTTTTTTTTTGTTCTTTTTTATAAGTTTAACGAATTTGTTTAAGAAAAGCCTTGAGTGCAAGACTTGTGTGCATGTGCAGGTGAGTTATACGGCTAGGAAGATAACGGTAACGATCACTTGGCCAATTAGGTAAAATTAGTAATTAAATTTCTAGCTACTGAGAATAGACATATGGTTCCAATTAGAAACTTGCTGAGCGTCATATAAAACCACTACATTTTTTCTAATACTTTGAGCGCCCGGGAAGCGTAGTAGTGCCTTAAAGGTACCACTCGTGCAGCAGGTGCAAGGCTGGGGCTATGATAGGATACGGTAAAATTGCGCGGGCACATTATCGCACTGATAGACTTCCTCCTGCTGCACGAGTGCTAACTTTAGCGCACTATTGAGTTTCTCGCGCGCTGCCTTCCTACAAATTCCCAATTTAGTGGTTTTCGATAATGCTCAGCAAGTCTTTAAATGGAACCACATGTCTATTTTCGATAATAAAAAGTTCAATAACAAATTGTATCTAATTAGCCGACTGATCGTCGCGATTATCCCCTGATACAATGCCCCACCCCCCCTTGCCGTATAATTCACCTGCATAAACCGCATAAATGTAGCTTTCATGGCTATTTTTTTAAACAAATCTGTTAAGTTTGAAAAAAAAAACTAAGAGGCAGGTCATAGCCTTTAAATCAATAAAAGAAACTCACCCAGTTTTAGCAAAGGCAATCCACATGTCCATGAGGTCCCTCGAAAACTTCACTTCCTCCCGCGTGTAATGTTTGGGAAGCCTCACGGGCATCCCTAACATGTACTGCACTTCGTCGCTGTGGGGCACGCCCATCCAGTGTCCCCAAATGCTGTCCGTGGTACGATGCTCAAACAAATAGTAGTAGACCTTGTTGCCCTCGCTCCCGTACCGGTCGGCAAAGTGAACCGTAGGACACACGAAAAGCAGATCTCCTACCAGGTCGATCAGGTCTTGCCGCATTTTCTCGCCGTCCGTGCTACCGACATCGAAGTATACATCGAACACGTCCGTCGGCACTGGAGAGTGAAAAGCGTGAAAGAGAATGCGGGCCACGCTCTCGGTGTCCTCCCTGGACACGTTCCTCGTACTCTTGAGCGGATACAGGTGCGGAAACCCCAGGAAAAGGAACAGAGAGCCTTCGTCGAGGTTGGTTCCCATGAGGACTTCGCCGTTTTGGAACTGGCCACGTTCAATAAGATGCAAATGAGATTTTGGCATGAAGTCGTCTCCATAGATCGGCCTCATGCTGATTATTGTACCTGTAGAAAATTCCACGTGGGCCCGAAGGATTTCATCCTGAGTCTTCGACCGAAGACATTGCAGGACCAAGCTCGGTTTGGATACGAGATCCTTGTCGATATCGTTCGTACAACCTATCGCTTCCGCGAACTCGTTGGACGTTCGCACCGCGTCTTGGGCGTTTGTCAGGTATCTCGCCGAAAACAGAGACCCACTCTGAAGAACCGCACGTTGGAACAGGCCTCGACTGAGCGGTGAGAGAAGGTGAAAGTTTGCTGAAATAGCGCCCGCACTAGATCCCATGAGGGTCACCCTTTGGGGGTCACCACCAAAGTTCTGGATGTTGGCGTGAACCCATTTGAGGGCCATTAGCTGGTCATGGAATGCCAGGTTGCCTGGAGCGTCCTCCGTGTCCGCCGTGAAGAAGCCGAAAGCGCCGAGCCGGTAGTTCATCGCGACGACCACCACGTCCCCGTGGGCCGCGATCACGGAACCGTTGTTGTAGCTGTGACTCGCAGATCCCATGATGAAGGCCCCACCGTGAATCCAAACCAGGACCGGCCTTTTGAAGACGGCGAACAGTGAAGCTTCGCTGAACGTTGGAGCCCATATGTTCAGGTAGAGGCAGTCCTCGCTGTGGTGGCTCTCGTCCTGGAAGCCAGCGCTGAGAAACACGTTCTCGGGCTGCATGCAAGACGGCGGTACCGAGGTGGCGTTCAGCGTGTCCTTCCATGGCGCGGGTTCAACTGGTTTCCGAAAGCGAAGCTCTCCCGTCGGGGGCCGAGCGTACGGCAAGCCAAGGAAGCCCACAATCTCGGTGTTGTCGATCCTAATCGGAGTTCCGCGCACATCTCCCAGAGTGGTCTTGACAACGTGATCCGCCCCTCGTACGATGACAGCGCCGGTCGCGAAGACGTAGATTGTTAAGAAGATAAATCTCATTTTGGTTTCTTATCTGAAATAAGAACGGAGAAGATGACTTTCTGTAGTATAGTTTGCACCTTGCCAAAATACAAAATAATTAGAAGTAACGCCGATATACGCAAAAAGATCGACGCCAACAACGCAGTAAGGGTGACGACTATTTGATGAATACTCAGTTAGCTGGTCAGATAAATAAGCTGAATGTCGGTGAAAAATTGTAGGGTATATGAGGCATACAAACTTGTGAATAAATAAAAAAAATAATCGTCTTGTAAACCAAAGAATGTGCTAAATTTTTATTATATACAAGAAGCTGAAAAACGCGGGAGAAAAATGTAACTCAATGATATTGTGTCTAGATCAATTGGTTGTTTACTTTCTTAAAGAGACTCTAAACCCAATAAACACGCAATGCACCCGAAGTTTGCAAACATTTAAAATCGTGTGACGTATTATAAATTGTGTCTTAGTTAATAAGACATTTGCATATGTTTTTTTACCACCAGCCCAATGATTTTGACGTTATATATTTTGTATTACAGATGTATGTGCTCGTCGCCCTCTGATATCATCGTATTACTTGGCCTGTAAGCAAATCGGCGGCTCTTGTAAGTCCTTTGTACGTCCAAGTTTTGCCGAGAATCGTCTCCTATTCTTAGTGTAGTGTTATAGTGATTTCTTTTTTGTATAGATGCCCCATTTAGGCTTCATACCCGCGAGACAGCAAACCATGCCTTGATAGTCGCAGTGTGACGTTGGTAGCAAAAGGAATAGTTAGTCGTACTTGGCGTCCAGAATTCATTCCCTCTAATGTAGACAAAAACGCAACAGGCAGAAATTGCTTGCATCAAGTTTTACCCAAAATAGGCTGCACTATGGAGGAAGCGTGTTGGAATTTAGCCCACGGAACCCAAAATCTTATAAGAGTAAGTGAATCGGCATGTGTGAAAAGAAAGTTGCATCACTTTCATAATAATGCAAGTTTTCTTGCATCATTACATCGTTGCTTGCTGTAATGCCATGTTATCGAGATTTAAACTTTCCGAGAGCTGTAGAAAACTTTGGCAGTTCACGTTCTCCAAAAATGAGGAGTGTTCGAGACTCGCCCGATCGAAGCATTCAGGACCCATTTACGTAACCTGAGGTGTGGCACGTAACCGAAATCTCAGTTACATGTCGCCTTCAGCACAAAAGGATTCCTTTGCACTCTTAGCTTCCCGGTCGTGGTTCGTACCCGCAAACTGGGGATCCGTGGGGCGTCACTTTCGTTCAGTCCCACTGACGTAGCCATATATGCAAATATTAAAACCTATAGTTGCTCGATGTTTAATCTCGTAGTCGTTGAGTGAGAAAAAACGACGGGTAGAATTAATGTTTTCGAGCACACACAAAATATATCGCCGCTATCGTTTTGTTCACGTTCATAAAGCGCCTCGTGTATTGGTGATATTCGCGGTACTTCAAGACAAAGACGGTTATTCGTCGTTTTAGGAATTAACGTTCAAGGTTATTTTAAGCAGCAAATGTAACCGGTCATTATTCCGGCTCGGTCCGGGTTTCGTAAATTTGCATTTTTTTTTTTTTTTTTTCAGTTCGGTTCCAGTTCAGAGATTCTATCCGAGCAACGGTTCGGTTATAGGTTCCACCGAGAGCAAACCGGCTAGAGCCGTTTTGTTTTTTTAAAAAAAAGATCACAGCATTCAAATGTTAAAAATAAAAAGTGTGTTCAACACGGCGTGATCTGCATTAAGAAAAACAGGCCATTAGAAGTTGTGCGGCGGAAGCGAGGAGGGCGAACAAATATATACTTCGTTGCGTTTTGTCAACTTGACATGTTATCGCAAACTACCCACCCCGCACGCCTGAACGCCTTGCTCGAACAATTGACTTTAGGACAAAGACAGCAAAAGGCTGTCAAAAGATGATGAAAAAAAATAAGAAAACGAGCGCCATGTTGCTTTTCATAAACGCACACACAAAGAAAATTTTCTTCCAGCAGCGACAAGGGGCTACTCTGTGCGATCGGCGTCCCGGCGACCAGCGGAGCAGTGTCCTGCTCGTCGCGGCTTCGCCTCTTGCCGCCTCCAGACTTTGCCACCCTGATCAACAACCCCAACAGCCGTCCACTTTTTGCTTTTATATTAAATTTATGTTTGCTACCTTTTCCTTGAGTAATATTGAACAGGAACGGAAAAATTAACAAACACAAACATACACAAAATAGCTCGCTAGCCTCTCGGCATAGTCAGATACACCCCGTTTCACCTTAGAATTTATCGCGATGAACGCTACGAGCTAGCCGAGCCAGTCCTTAGCTCGTAGCTTGTCACGTGATTTCGCGCTCCTTGCGCCGCTTCGCCCAACCGGAAGAACGCGTGACACACTCCGAGCTAAAGATTGACTACGGCGGCTCGTAGCGTCATTTGCACTTTATCGCAAGGTCAAACAAAGTATAGAAGTGTACGCCTATGCGCCGATTCGCCGATGCCAAGTCATGGTACACATAGACGTGAAGTATGTTTATTTGTCTCATTAATATTGAGTTGTCTCCATGTCGCTGTCGTCTGTTCAGTCAGTGCTTCGCTGCTGATGCAACCGTCGCGAATATTAATTTGACTTTGCACCACCACGAGCAAGAAGGCGCAGCTTACATTTTATTACTCCGAACCGTTTTGCAATGGAACAGTAACCGTGACATGAAATTACTGTTCCGTTCAAGCTCGCGTTCAATACGAAATGCCTGATTTCGGTTACGGTTTAGTTCCGATTCTGTCAAAAATAACGGTTTTTCACCGTTTTAAGGATAGGGTTAGGGTATGGTTAGGTTAGGTTAGGTTAGGTTAGGTCCCTACATTTAAGAATTAATATACTTGAACGAATTCAACTTAACCTGAAAAGTACAACAGAATTAATCGTTAAGCATCGATCATTTCAAAGCCAGAAAGGGCGTTTCAAACGCGGTAGGCTAATATCCATAAAAGGCTCCGAATGCAGCATATGTAAAACGAATGCAGATTAGTGGTTCTCACCTTAACCGCGTTTCCTTCCAGACGATGAGCATATCCGCCGCGGTGACGGAGGACGCACTGATGCGAATGTAAGGAGAGACAAAGTCTTGGGCTGCAAAAACCCGCCGATAAAAGTGAAGTGATTTATTTACCTTAGGATAGCCTTTGGTTACGGCTATCTGCCGTCTTCGCTGCATCCTCAGCGGGTCTTATCCGCGCTTCGACATGCATTAAACGTGTCGCACAATGCAGACAGTACGTCACCGGCGTCAGCCCTTGGCGTGTGTCGTAAGAGGGAAATGGATGCCCTTTCGAAGGACTCCGCTGCCAATATCTCTACGGATAACACAAGGTCTGACCACACGACTGTCCCCTATCGAGTCTTCTTAAATGGCTCACCGGAAGATCCGGGATGCTCGTCCACCGCGTTACCAGTGCCACTCAAACTGTACTTCGACAGTACCTGATAACCTGATAATTACGGTGTCGTGCTTTCGGGGCTTATTTTAACACACAACGTGTCTATGGGCTGCATTTCATAGAAACGTGTAACGCTCGAGTGTGACGAAAAAGCGTTACACGCAGGCTAAAGCAACATGGATGTTGCATAGCCCGTAGCAGGCAGTGTGTAAGCATCCAAAGCACAAAGAAAGCATAATTTGTTACAATAACAACTAGAAACAAATACCCGAAGCCAGAGAGATTCACCAAAGAGCTAAGCAAGAATCGAATTCCGGACGCACATGTCTAAACGTTGGGCGATACGCGGCTTGGGAACACCGCTCGCGCCGCATTGGCTGCTCCTCCAAGAGGACGCATTTTCGTCACACATCGCAACGGGCGGTTGCTGCGTTGGCCGGCAGGCGCCGTACGTGTATTACTGGGGCGACATTTAACCTCCCTTCCCCCCCCCCCCCCTTCACGCCGCCTTGCGGTAACGTTGGGCGTGTGGATCACAGGGGCACGCGAATGCGCCACCACAGACTGTCGCCGCCAAGCGGCGTCAACGGGAGGAAGGTTAAAACGCGCTTCACTGATATACGCGCAACGCCCACTGCCGGCCGGCGCAGCAACCGCCCGTTGCTGTGTGTGACGACGTATAGCGTCCTCTTCAAAGAACTGCCAATCCAGCGCGAGCGGCGTTGAAATGCCGCGTATCGCTTACCGTTTACAAATACACAACCCGGACATTGCGAACCGCAGTCCTATGTCTTTGCAGTCTAGAAGTGTTTGCGCGACACAAGGGACAATCACAAGGGAGTATACGCGGAGAAGCGCAACTTTGAACTAGTTTATTCGTTCCCAATCAACCACGAACATCCAGAAAGAGCATGCGCAGCACGCTACACAAAAAAAAAAAGGAAACAGAAAAAACAAGATAGAAAAGTTCCACACATTCCCCGATAGTCATTATCACACTGGCAACGCAGATAAACACTGGACTTCACTCTCAAACAAAGAAACCGAGGCATCGCTAACACAGGCACGTCCCTTCTTTATATAAAACGCTTCCATCAGTTATCTGGCCTCCGTCTTTGCTCGGTGCCATAAAGAAAAGATGAACAAGAGCGCCAGCAACTGGACTAAGTATGACTTGCCGCCGACGGTCGCCTGCGGTAGCACGGGACTCTCCGTGGCGAGTGATACTTAGTTCAGGATACTTGGTTTTGCATATCATGTCCGCAGGCAACCATCGGATGCGAGTTATACTTAGTCCAGTTTAGTAATTCCTCAGACGAACGTCGGCGGTGAGTCATACTTAGTCCACAGGCTGGCTAGTTATAATTAGTCCAGTTTACTAAGTCCACAGACGACTATCGGCGGCCAGTCATGCTTAGACCAGTTACATTAGTTTGCAGACTACAATCGCTAACGATGTATACTCAGTCTGTGGGCAACCTGGGGATCCCAAGCGTTAAATCAGGTGGCCCACAAGCCAAATCGTTTAAAGTCCTTTCCACCGCGAGGGTGCCAACTGCAATAGACCCTTTGCTGAATCCTCCAAGCGCCCCGGCCCGCACTCAGAGAATCATGGGAACAGAGGTCCTTCAGCTTCACAGTGATTGGCATAATTTACACCAATTCGATAGTTACACAGTTTTGAGTGTAATCCGGAGTCACCCTGAACAAGCGTCGTGTAGAGTCCAAAGACCTGCCACATCAGTTTTAAAATTTCTCGTCAATGTCAGCGTTTTTTTATACTGTGCATGCGATCCGCCTTTCAACCTGGCTGAGCGGGCGGCTCAAGCGGACTACGCCGAGCCATACGCAGGTAAATATCACAAAAATAGTGAACCTTAACCTAAAGCTGATGCTATGCTTGTAGCGCATATAGAGCGACACAAAGACTGGAACGCAAAGCTGGCAGAAACGGCATTCCCTATTCGCACGACAATCAACCGGTCCACGGGTTTTACCCCGTCTTAAAGGGGCCCTCCGGAGCTTTCTGCGATCGTCTGTTTATGTTGTTATATTGCGTAGTAGGTGCAAGTTAATATGTATACAAAGTTTTAGATTACAAAACCGTTTATTAAGCAGATAGCAGAAGAAATATATCGGGACTATTTTCTCTTGGAAGACAATCCCCCATTCCCTGCCCATCGCTAAAACTGGACCAATGGAAATGCTGCATCTCGCGGTGAATGCGAACGTTATTATTGCAACACTTTTTAAGCTTGTTGTAAATTAGAGTTTGAGAAAAGCGTAAACTGATTGTAGTGCGGGAAACATAGTCCGCAATTATCGCTCCAAAACCAGCGAACTATGTTTTCTCCCCGCAAGCTTGTTGCTAGGGGGTGATGCGTCGGCGCGTCGGCTCGTCTGCTTCCCGGGGCGTCTGCAGGCGTGCGTTGGCGGGACACGTGTTCCTTCTTCCCGTGGATCCCGACTCCGAAGCCAGCTTTGCGATCCTTCCTCGTCAACGAGTCAAACTTTTCCTTGTCATCTGTGGAATGCGACTGCGTATTGCAGTGGCAGCGCGACGGTGCGGTGCGGCGAACGACGACTGTCGCGCAGAAAGTCCGGAGAGATTCCTCCGCGGGTCGGCGGTCGGCTGCGTTGGTGACGCGCAGTGACGCCGGAATTCTTCGCTTGCTATTGGCTGACGCGTAAAGAGATGCCCCTCCCGTTTTCCGGGGTCATCTCAGAAAGGGGGGCGTGCCGGGGACTTTGATAGCAATTTTAATAGGGAAATCCGCCGCGCATGACCGTAATTTTTTTATTTTTAGGATCCTTGGGGCCTGTAGATTGAGTTACCGCCATAAATAGACCATCGCAGAACGCTCCGGAGGGTACCTTTAACTTAACTTTAGGAAAGAGCTCGCGTTTCCCTCGGAAATGGCCTTTTTTGCACAAATCCAGCAGCATGCAGCGCACCACTACACAGTTCGCAGAAGATCTTCGGAAGCGTTTCACGGAGAACTTGCGAGAAATTTGAGAGAGCATCGACGTCTCGAGAATGCGGCAGGCCAACAAGTACAAGGGGAGGCGAAATCTACAGCTCAAGGTAGGAGCTCTGGTGCTGAGGAGAGCTCATTCGCTGAGTGATGCTGCCAGAGGCTTCACGTCTTATTTAGAAAAGAGATGGAAGGGCTCATACCAGGTTAGCTAGAAGCTCTCCAACATGTCTTACGAGCTGGTGCATCACGAATCTGGTTCATTCATGTCGCTGTCCTAAAAGCTTCCTATAAAGCCTAGGGGGCAGATGTGTCGCAAGTTCGAGATAGCACCAATCCGGACAATATCTCAGAAGATTCCCTACCGTCTCTGTAAAGATGTAACCTACGACGGCGGTAAATACGACAGAAGAAGGATCACGAGCTCTAACTGCATTATATTCATGCCCACTTCGTTTTTTTTTTTTTTTTTGGAAGGGGGGGGGGAAGAAGAAAAATTAGCCGTGCTCCCTTATTGCAGTTGGGCAGGCGTCGTTTTCAGGCGCGCCCATTATTCCTGCGGCGCCATGGCCTAATTATATAGGTTTAAATTTTTGGAGCCTCGTGCCAGAGACGTAGCGGCGGCGACGCAGCTCCGATCATTAGACCCATCGCAGCCGCAGCGATACCGTCCAAGAGCACTGATGTCCGACCAGCGTTCGCCCATCTGCAGATACCCTTGCTGACCTAGAAGGGCCACCCCATGACCTCATAAAACGTTTCCTATTTGTTTGTTTTTTGTTTTGTTTTTTTTTACTTTCGAGGGGGGAGATGTAAGGGCAGCATGGGAACCAAAAGTGTTGGACCAGGTGGCAGGCATGCCAAATCGTTCAGAGTCATTTCTACCGCGAGGGACCCAAGTCCAATGGACCTTTTCCACATACCGATGGTACCAGGCGGTGGCTGCACGAACTAAAAATCGAGGAAGTAACCTACCTGCGCTACCAATCGATAATGGGAGCTACGCTACCAGTTTCTTCGCCTTCTGAGCTGCGTCGCGTCCCCAACGCGACTCTAGAGAGAGGCATCCGTGGTGTCCACCCAAACGTCGTGTTTTTGTTTACGTCCTCTTTCTTTTCTGTGTAACACAATTATATATATGCCGCAATTACGTGTTCTACTCGCTGATCCACGGCCTCCTTCCGAATTTCCACGATTTTGTGTGCCGACTTCCGCCGCTTGGCATCGGGCGCTCGCGCGTGCACAGAACGCTTCTCGGAAAAGGTCCTTTGGCCACGCGAGTGGTGCTTCGCCGCTAATCATATGTTGTCGCAGCGTATGTGCGGGGACTCATGGGATCACGGCGCGGGCGATAACGGTCAGTAAGCAACTGTTGTTGAACCAGTGCGTTGTGTCATTGTCTGAGACAAGCCGCAGCAAGGGAATTCTACAAGTTCAACGTAATTAAAGTAGAGGCGCTAATGTAGCGACCGAATTGTATTCAAATTGTGGCACCCCCTTTCGGTGATGATTGTATATATTGTCAGGAAGAAAGAAGAAGCGGGGCTGAGACGGCAGTGCGCGTGCTGAGCTCTCTTGGATCTGCATCGAACGGTCACCGTGGACGCACCATCTTAATCAAACTTCATTCATTGTATTAAACCCATCCATCCATCCAGAGCCTTACAGGTTGGTGGAGGTGCGGGGTAGGAAACCGCTGACCTCCACCAACCTGTCAATATAAACGCCGTGCGTAATAAACGGGGCGCTTTTTTTCAACTGGCACCCTTGACTGGCGGGTCTCGTCACT